TCATCTGGAGTAGAACAGCCCAAGTTTGCCCTCAGCTTCAAAGATGACATGTGAGTATATAAATACATGTAGTTCACGCTGCTCATTGTTGCCTGTAAAATCTCTGTTTAAAACAAACAAACAAAAAACTGTAGTGTGTAATACTGCCGCCAACTTCCAATTGTTGGATCAATAGTCAGGATAGATGTTTTGTAGTTTGAAGGATGAGAAACCAAATACTGAAATGTAGTAACGCTAATCTTTAGTGTCGATTTTGCTTGAGGTGTGTAACGTTGTCGTCTCTGTGAAAATAAATGCCCTTTTTAAAAAAATGTTTCAAACGCAGTGAATTGGATACACAGCTGTTGTTGTTAGTATGAATTTAATGTTTTACACACACACACACACACACACACACAGTATAAACCTGACTAATAGATAAGTAATTACTTTAACTCTCCTTTGGTGTGTTTTACTAATGTGTTCTGAATTATTTACATCCCTGTCATTGTTACAGGGATAATGCAGATGACTTCATTGCAGCCCATCGTCTTTCAGACAAGCTTTTGAAGATTAATCTGGATGAGAGTGCATCCACAAATCAAGGCTCCATGCTGGGCCTTGGTACTACACAGGCAGGCTCAGTATGTGGCCATCCCACAGAACTTGGAACAGGTAAATTCTTGTGCCCCTGGCTCTATTGACTTTTTCAGGCACACGTTAAGTAATATTTCTGGCTTCATCAGTCTATTTAAGTGACTCCGTTCTCCATTCACACTTAGCACACAATTAAAAAGGGAGCTATATACTACTTGAATGTGTACTATGGTTCTTTCTGTTGCTGTTGTGGTAATGCAAAGAACCATGGTACACGTGAGTTAGGGCCCTTAAATGTAGTTAATAACTTGAGTGTTGCTTGTTCTTATAAATCAACCACTTCATACTGATCTGTTATGTAAGAGTGTTTGCCTAAAGTTGTTTTGTTTTTTGTTTGCTTGAGGCTTTTGGGGGGCAATGTGTACATGCTCATTTGATCCACCTGTACAAAAGTGGTACTGATGAACTTTGTGTCTCTTCTAACAGATCTGTCAACAGGGCTTCTGACATTTGCTCATTTTGGACATAAAGATATCACAGACAAAAAGGTACCACCTTTCCATACATGCTGATCAGTTTCCTTTTGATTTATATCTGTATGATGTGTCATGAGACTGCTGTCCAAAGATTTGGACTATTTCTTTCCCTACTCATTTTCTGTGTTCTGTATTTTCTGTCGTGATGTGCAAAAATACAGAGTTTGACTCGCTGTTTAAAAGCCATTATTTCACTTCTTCTAAACTTTTGAATGTCTTGATATCTAGCTCTTTCTACAATGCAATATTTTTTTACAAGTGTTTTTTTTGTTTGTTTGTTTTTTAAATCAAACTCCCCTTTTTTATTTGCTAACAAAATTTCTGTAAAGTTGCTTTCATTGCATTCCTCTGTTGTTCAGTCCATACAGGCTCAGGCCTTACCAGCTAGAGTTGAAAACAACCAGGTGCTGAGTGAAGGAGTGGGCAGTGACCATTTTAGTGACAGCAACTCAAGCTTCCTGGCCAATGAGAAGCTCATGTCTGTGGATAGTATGAATAGCGACCTAACAGGTAAGTCAGACCTTTAAGTCCTTAGAGTCACACCTTGTACATCGTTCCTATTTCAGTTGGATAAATTTAACACCGAGCAGGTGTGACATTTGTGATTCAGTCACACACATACTTGGTGTTTGGTCACCAGATGATGACATTGATGTAAACAACCTGCCTGATGATGAGCTGGAGCTGTACTTCAATAAGCTGGTCCCTCCTGCTATGCAGAGAGGCAGAGTGGAGGGCCAGGAGATTCCTGCAACTGTAAGGCTCTTTCCGCTCTACTTTGCTGACTTTACTGACTTATACATTTTACTAGCACCACTTTTAAAAGAATGCAAGCTAAAATATTTGTTTCAGAGTTCTCGCTAACACAGTATATCTTTCATAGGGAGTGCCAGGTGCTGCTGATGTCCTGTCCAACCCAAGTTCTACAGAGCCTGAACAGTACAGAGATCAATTCCTTGATCAGTCTGATCAGGTGAG